TCTTTTTGTTAAAAGGATTTTCAAAGGCAGCTCTTGCTGAGCAGGGAAGCTGTCTTGAACTCAGCCCCCCTCAGCTTTTCTCTCTCTCACCCTTACTCTTTCTTTTCTCTCCCTTTCTTTGTTTGCTCAAGAGGTGTCGAGAATAAAGGTGTCCTTAACTCACAAAGCCTCCACCTGAAAATGTGTCCATCACTCATGCCACTTGTCTATTTAGTAATTTGTTTCCAGTGTTTCTTTAAAATGTCAACATTGGATTGACATTTTTAAGCTTAGTTGAGTACATATGGTGGCCTCAGTCCAACGAGAGCAGCCCATGTGAGGCTTTGTGCAGGTGAGCACACTTTCCATGGCTTGTGTTGTGCAAACAGAGGCTGTCGAAAAACACCAGGGCCTCTCTGAAGGAACCACACCAGACAGATCTATGTCTGTCATCTCCTTGTGGGACACACGCACACACACACACACACACAAATTCATAGCACTGACACTGGCTATATGTAAAGGTGCCTTTGATCAGTTTTTCTCAGATCTTCAGCAGCTTCCCTGCCATTTAGATCTGTTTACACAACTTCAAAACCCAACTAGTAGAGGGACAATACCTGAAACACCCATTTAAGGATGGGGGAGATGTATAGTTGAGGACATGTGGTTAAGTTTGACCTGCATTTATCCTATTGTTTTCAGTTCATTATTATCATCGCTGTCATCACAATTATTTTATTCTCTTTCTTTGACTTCTCCTTTCCCTGTTTTTCTTATACTCAGTTTATTTTTGACCTTTTTAATTTTTTATTTCTAGACAACACTCCTTATAGTCTCAGAACACTGACTGCATTAGTGTTCCACAAAAGATGAAGCCATACCAGTTACATGCCAACTGCACTTTCTAGATCTGCACTTCCTCTTTGCTATTCTTCACCAATCTATTTAATTTTGCAGTAATAATCCAGTGCCACAGCTGTAGAGAGAGGCAGCACAATGAGAGATGCAGTCCATCATCATGCTTAATAGAGATTCAATGGTGTTTTTATGAGGTGCAGTGCACAGGTAGATTATGGTGAAATGTATTTTTAAAAAACAAGGTAGATGGATGGGAGGTCAAAAGTATGTGGAAACTGTGATGACCATGTGCTGAGTTTGTACAGCAGCTCACAGCCCCCTGACAGGGTTGGGGGGGAGGTAAATGAAGACCACCTGGACTGGAGCTAATCCCCCAAACACTATCCCCATTCCCAAGATTGCTTCATGTATTTAGATTTGAAAGTGGATGGAGATGGTGGGGGGCACTGAACGTTCTCTCGTGAGTTTGTGATGTCATGGGCCGATAGACGTTGTTACAAGTGATGAGTTTATCATCATAAAATGTTTCCACAGTCAAACTTTCCATTCTCAGCCTCAGTTTTAGATTAGGTATTTGAAATCTGGAAAGTTTGTTTAATAAAAGAAGCAAATGTTTCTTGTAACCAAACTGTATGACTGCCTTCCCCTGCACAAGTTCATATCTGTTTGGTTTTTGCCAAATCACATTTGTTTATCAAGTCACAGGGCTACTTGATACAGCTATACTTTTAAATGAATGCGTAGAGAATTGAGGTCTTCGTTGTGGTGGTATTTAATCAAGATTAGACTTGTGGATAAGAAATCGTTTGAAGTTAGTTTTAAGATAGGCCTCCAACAATAATCTAGCGTCAGATATGACTTTGCTACACCAAACATAAATTGCACACATCTGTACTGTACAGAGACAACACACACACACACACACACACACACACAATTAAACAAGCTAAGGAGATTAGTTGTCTACATGCAGTATGTCTCTAGATAAAGCAATAGTGGACAGCCAGTTACTGTACCAGGTGTTGCCCCCATTTCCTCTCGACTGTAGGTACAGTAGACTCAGTGAAGAGAGCACCCAAACAACCTTTGAGAACTATAAATCACTGGTGCAGAAGTATCAATCCATTTGACACTTTTAATTACACCAAATGTTCTTGGATTATACGGTGTAGAGCTGGGTTTGCTGCATGAATGAGTGGGTGGGTTGCCACTGACAAGTCTTAAGTTAAAAGCTACACGCTGGTTAAAATATCTCAGTTTTATGATAATGTGCATCAATAAAATCCATTGGTCAAGTCAAAATGTCATGATTACTAGTGTCTGTTCAGTGGTGTGTGTGCAGTGTGAAATCTCAAGCATTCTTATGAAGAGCCATTCTGACAACACTAATTTTAGCCTTTCTGTTATCTCAGAGGCCAGGTTATCTGTGGCCGAAAGCTCCCTGGGCCCTCTAAGAGCCACCGTCTTTCACTCTGGTAGAGCCAGGTCTTCATCAAGGGACGCCTTGGCACACTGAAGCCCTCCTTTGACATAGTCAGCTCAACACCATGTGGTAATACTCACAACCAGTGTAAGCAGAGGAGGTAGATCTCAGAAGTGAGAAAAACAACAGAAGTGTTGTTCTAAACTTTGACAAATTAATGCTGGTTTAACATATGTTTAACATAAAAGGAATAGTTCATAATGTTAGAAACGTGCTAAGTAATGAATGTTAAAGGTGTTTGTTATTGTTGCTGTTTCCTCCTGTTTCCAGTCTTTATGCTAAGCTAAGGTAATCGGCTGGTGGCTCTAGCTTCTTATTCAAGAAGCATGAAAGAAAGCAAATAGTGAACTTCCCAAAATGTTAAGCTATTGCTTTAACCCTCTTGTTATGTTCGTTTCTCAGGAACAACATTGATGTTCGTGGGTCAGTTTGACCCAGGGCATGTTTAATTATCCAAAAGTGTCAGAAACCAAAAAAAATCCCAATAAACTGTTTATATCTCATTATTAACTCCATTATTAACCATTTCAATCAATATTTAGTGAAATGGTGTTCTTTACCTCTCACAAATCATGGTTTAATGAGGATAATTCACTCGTTTTTCATAAAAAAGCATGTTAAATTTTTTTTAATGTACATTGGAAAGGCCTACATATAAAATACAATATTTTACATAACATTTGATTTTCTTAAAAATTTTATTTAACATTTTGAATTTTTTTTTCTTTTTATGTAGTGCTGA